AAAAGACCCAATGTTTTGCTTACCTCCACCTCTATATTCACAGCTTCCTCTATATCAATCAAGCTGGTAACTTGTGAGTTTCATCTAAAATCACCTTGTTCGACTGATCATCCCCTTAGAATGTGCCTCTACTTTTTCATCATCACTTAATGGTTTTGTTCTGTATGTCTCCCTACTAAATATCTTCATATGAGACCCAACTCTTCCACCCTTCATTCTAAGCCCAACCTGGCACTAACTCCCACTGACACCTCTAACATCTCCATCCTTTTTGTGCACTGTCACAAGGAACCATTTCTGACGGACAACCCTCATTTAAGTAACAATCATCACAAATTTCCACATTTGACCTGCTCCCAAAATGATTACAAAAATCAGCATCAATAGATGCCTTTTCTCTTGAATATCACCCATACTAGTCTCTTCCCTCGTCGAAATCCCTTCCCTTTATCTACTAAGAATTCTTGCAAAACATTCGAAGACCATCCACCATCGATATCTAAAATCACTTCCTTACCACCAGTGTTAGAACCTTTCAGCCTCACCTCAGTCTCTAACTTTGTGCTTATATTACCATCATTCTTTGAAGACAACCTTTGATCTTTGTCTGAGACCACCTTGATCACACCTGAGATCAGGTGCGGCATGTGGGAACAAACAGTGGTAGTCACGTGGAGGGAGGAGTTTAAAGAAGAGGAAGATCGAGAAACATATCTCAAAACTAAAGTAATTAATGAGGCATAGGTGGAGAGGAAAGTTAGAGGTGATTTGAATTTGGATGGGGCCTACACAAGTTCTGGTGGCTCGAACAAGGCCAAATTTGGCTACTGTTCGAATGGGCTGCAGGTTAGGAGGGGCAAGGGGATAGGTAAAAGACAAAAGAAAATGGTGTTTCGAAGAAATGGAAGGAAGAAATAAAGAATACTTGGGAAGAAGATTGAGTATGGGTGATTGCTAGGTTCTAAGGAGACAAGAAGACCTTGGAGATTTCAGTAGAACAGACAATAGTAAGAGGCAAATGAGACAAGTTCTGTAAGAGAAGAAGATATTCTTGAAAGGGCAAAACAAGTGGAGTTTTCAGAGCACCTGAAGCAGGTCGGCAACGTTGATGGCCAGACCGAGGAGTTAGTTTTGAGTCGTCTCAAGTTCACCCTCCTCAAGAAGGACTGCAGGTGGAAGGAGTTGTTGACAGGTTGGTTTTTGAAGAAGGGGAGATCTCGAGTGCGAGAATGGTTTGAATGTCGGTCTGTCTATTGGTGAGGTATGCATGATTAACACTGCTATTGAGCAAAGTCGAGGAGGTTGCATGAGGTTCATTTGGAGGGGGATAAAAGAACTGGGAAAGAAGAAGAGGGGTGATGGAAGAAAGAGGAAGGTCTTGGATGATAATGATTGGGGATACGAGCTGGACAAAGTATATAATGGGGAGAGGAGAGTGTTGGGTACCGGTTCGGCTCTAAAGGAAATAATGGAGGCAGAAGCATTAATTCAGGAGGAAAATCTGGAGGGAAGAAGGGGGGGGGGAGGGTGGAAGAGGAGGAGAAAAGGAGTGAGGAGCAGGGAGGGCTGGTTACAATTGAGGACTGAAGTGGAAATTAGCAAGTTAGTAGAGAGGGAGGTGACAGTGAGAAAATCCTTGGGTCTGTTCTTTTGGGGAGGGGAAGACTTTGCGAGAAAGCATTTGAACAATTTGAGAGAGAGAGAGGAAAGAGGAAAAAATTAAAGGAGGGGGAAAGAGAGGAATGGATAGAGAGTGGGACAAAGAAGGGTCTGATGTCCGTGAGGAGGAGGTGTTGGGTGAGGATATGTGAAGAGTCAACCTGGTTGGAAAGATTCAGGTAGAGGGAAGAGGGATGAGGTTGTTAAGTTGGATCAGAGATGTCTGAGGAAGAGAAACAGGAGAACTCTGGTGAGATCATGATCAGAAACCTCCCACACACTTTGCTTACTACTCAGAATGTCTGCAAACACCATGCATGAAGCAGTGTGCCAATGACATTAATCTACACCAGGCTTCTAACACCGGCTTCACGAACTGCGCTGACTAACGGATTCCACCTACCCAGTCTGAACTCCACTGTTTTGATATGATTAGCCTTCCAACTTTGCACGTTGTCTGCCTCTTCCTTGCTTCTTCAGAATGAAGACAAAGAACCCAGCTTGAGTTTTCTTACCTGGATTCCACTCTTTGCACACCACTCGGAGCACACCCATTTCAAAACCTCATCCACTGGTTCACACTTCGCAATTAACAAACTGACCTATTAGTCATGTCTCTAACACCCCTTTTTTTGATAAATCATTTCTCTAACACCCTTAACCGATCAGAAGGTTCCCCATGTCATCCATGGACACCTCCTTTATTGATCAAGGAAAGTACCTATGTAAAGTGCATTATAAACATTAGAACCATTGAGTTCACATGAAAATAGATCATTTCAAGTTAAGAATTTCCAGCTAGAGCACCACCACCAACCAAAAGGAGATGGTTTTGAATTTTTTTAATCAGCTTATCTATATAATATATCTAAAACAAAACTGTCCAGCTCAGCATTCCCTCTCTGTCCTCTCTGACACCTTCTAAAATTTGTGATTTTTTAATTATTTTTCGTTTTTTTTTTTAATAAATGTTATGGTGAAGAGTGTTAATGGATTGTGGGTGAGAGAAGGTGACACCATGGATGAAGTTTTGGAAGTATTTGTAGTATTGGAAGCTTGAGATCTATTGAATGTCCTCTATAGATCAAGTTCTTTTCTTCTGGTGGATAGCTCTGATACCATATGAAGATCTTTAGTGACTTGATATCATTGATGGGCAATACATGGATTCTGTTATATCTCTTTATCGGTAATATGTTTGAGTTGAACACAAACTCTTAAACATAGTTGTTCATGAGTTAGCTGTTGGCATTGCCTTCTTCAAGTGGTTTAACAGAGATGACCATGAAGGAATAGAAATGGTTTTTTCCCCTTTAAATGTTATACAACCTGGGTTGCTCTTTTAGGAATTGAGTTACTTTTTAAGAGCAATTTTGTTTGACTGTTGCATGTTAACTTAAACATATTGTATAATTTTTTTAATAAATTTATTATATTAATGAGTGATTTTTCCTTTTTTGTATTGATGATGAATAATGGTAAAAATACTTAATCATCATGAACTTGCATGTGCAATGTACGTGCTACTCCACTAGTATGATACTATAATAATATTTTACAAGAAAAACTCATCATCATCATTATTATCTCTCTGCTCCCCGTCACATAAACATATTTATATGGACAAATCAATACATGTATCATACATAATTTAAAAATCCATAAAAAAGTTAAATATAATTTAAACTAATATACTACGACTGTAACACATTGAGGTTCAGGTTGGATTGGGTTTCCCAAGGCATCAACCTTAACCTAAACGAGTTTTATATTGGGTTGACATTTTCCAATCCTAACCCTAACTCAATCTTCAACCCAACTCTATTTTTTTGGGGGTTGGGGGTTTGCCCAGTCCAAATTGCACCCCTAATTAACTAATTTTACTTGCCTTTTCTATTTGGTAATAATAATATAATGTACAAAGTTCATTGCAAATTCCATCAACAGTTGAAGACTCCAGGCCAAGTTTATTAATTTATTTATGTTTTAATTTCAAATACTCATCTTGCAGCCAAAGTCAGTTAATGCATTTCGAAGGGTGAAAGTTGAAGAAGTGAAATTTGTTGATGAGAGACTTCAAGATAATTCTTATTGGGCAAAGGTGTGAGTTTATGGTTCTGTATTATATATTTTTTATTTTTTTGAAGGCATACTTTATATTTTTTCTATTTGCATGTTAATGTTCTTACTTCTGTGAGTACTTTATGTTTCTTGCTTTTTATATATTTATGTCACAGTTTCTCTGTAATTTTTGTACAGGGCGGTGCAGAAATTGGCTATGGTGCAAAAGCGCAAGAAGTTCTGGGACAAGTTAGAGGAAGGTATGCTTTGCTGTTGGTTGTCAGATGGGTTGATGGTTTCAATAAATTAGATGGCCAAAATATCTTTTGAACTTGAATGGATTCTTGTATTAGTTTATTAATAACAATTTGAAAAATTTTATTAATAAATGGAGAGGGAGAGAGAATTTGCTATCTAAATGAAATAGTAGGGGTACAAAATTGATGTGAATTGAGTAGGAGTGAGCAAAAAAAAAAAACCGAAAGCTGAACCGACCGAAACCGAACCAAAAAATCAGTTAACTGAACCGGTCGGTTCGGTTTCTGTTAACTAATATAGAAAACCGGTCGACCGGTATACATATTATTTCTATATATTTTATATATATATTTATGTATGTCACATATTTTTTATATATTATAAATTAATAAATATGCATTATATATAGTTATATATTTATAATGTATTATTTATTATTTAAGATATATTATTTTATATCTTTATAATTTTTTATTATATATTTATATATATTTTTATAATATATTGTAAAAATTAAAAGACCGATGGACTGAACCGGTCAACCGGTTAACTGACTGGCTTATGTTTGGTTCCGGTTACCAGTTTTCCAAAAACCGGTAGTACTGGTTCGGTTCCAAAAAATGCCCCACAGTTCGGTTAACCGAACCGTGAGCACCCCTAGAATTGAGAAACATCTTAAATTTAGACCAAGAAAGCAAAACCCTTCTTGGTGGAAGGTGAGGCACATGCACTTGAATGCAGCACAATGCTACTTTTGAAAATATCAAAAAAAGTATATCATATAAGAATATTCAAATTTAACTACATCTATCAAAAATAATTCAAGTTTAACTAGATATTTCTAAAAGTTTATTATCTCAATTCATTAAAATATCATTCTAATTTTTTATTTATTTATTTTGATGGATATTAAAGTATCATCATATTAATATGATGATTCTAACTATGTTTGTTTAAAGTCCTCCATAAGTTGAACTGTTTAAACTCTAAATATCATAGCTACAATCCATAATACAATATATTACCTATTAAAACATAAATGTAATGCTAAATGTATCAAAATATAACAAGAATCCAAGTCAGGCACATCCCTCAAAATCAACCTTGCCTGTGAGCTAAGGTGAAAAAAATGACATTGAGATAGTTATGAATTCCATTAAGTTTCTGTTACTTGATCGACCAACCCAAAATTCAGTTATGTCAACTACATTGAATGATCTTTCAAATTGGTCAAGACTCTCCAGTTTATGGCCGCTTCTCTATGGTACCAGTTGTTGTTTCATT